CAAAGCACTGACTTTGAGGCTTTACATTAAGATACATCATTAAAAGGCCCTAACTGAGTGGATTCATTTTCTGTGGTGTATAATGCATCACCTGAAACCTAATACTTAAAATGGCACAAATTTGTTGTCTCACCATTTCCTTGGGTTAGGGGTCTAGGTACCGGTCAGCTGGGTCCCTGGCTCAGGGCCTCATAGGCTGAAATCGAGCTGTTGGCTGGGGCTGCGAACTCATCTGAGGTCAGGTCCCCACTGCCCAAACTCACTGGTTGTCAGCGTCTGGTTCCTTGTGGGCATGGGCCTGGGACCATCTCCACAGCTCCCAGAGGCTACCTACTGTTCCCTGTCTTATGGCCCCTCCACAGCAAGACAGTTTGCTTCCTCAAGACCAATGAGAGAGCATCTCTACTGCTTTAAGTCTCTCTGACTTCTTCCATCTCTGACATCTAGACCCTCTTGTAAGGGGCTTCTCTGATTAGGTCAGGCCCACCTGGAATGCTCTCCTCTTGGTTAACTTAAAGTCAGCTGGTTAGGATATTAATTATATATGCAAAATCCCTTCACCTTTGTTACGTGACATAACCTGGTCATGGGAGTAATCCAACCATCATAGCGACAGGTACTACCCACATTCAAGGGAAAGAAACTATACAGATATTTATATCAAAGGATAAAAATCTTGGACACCATCTTAGAATTCTTCCTACCACCCAATCGCTAGTGGAATCACTTTTCTATTCACTTAGAATATCTGCATTGAGGGTTAGTATGTTCCAGATACTGGCCCAGGCACTAGAGATACAGCAGAGAACAGGGTGGGCGTGGCAGGGCTTGCAGGCTGGTGGAAGAGACTTAAGTGGATTCTGACATGTTCCATGAAGGAGAAGGGTCTTAAGAGAAAACACGAGAGCCCTGGCTTTATCTAGGCTCGTGGTCAGAAAAGGTTTTCTCAAGGAAGTAATGTTTAGTAGAACCTGATAGAGGAGTAAGAGTTGCCAAGATAAAAAGAAAAGAGAGAGTGGGAAAAGATTTCAGACAGAAAGAACCCAAGATCCTAGATCATCATGTGTCAACGTCCTGGGATGGGCTAAGAATGCCACTTCCAGTGTTGCAGAACAACACTAAACCATAGGGACAGCTCAACTACTGAGCACGTCCACATGGAGGTCTAAGAAGCTCTCCAACCTTACACATCCTCTGGGAGGGATAAGAGAGAATTCTAGGTTCTGGCTTTTGCAACCAAGAAGATAGCTGTGCCATTTCTTGCAATGGGGTACAGGAGGAAGGGAGGTTTGGAAGGGAAGATGGTGATCCTGGTTTGGGACATGGTGTATCTAAGATACCTATGAATCAGATTGGAGATGTCAGTGGCAAGTGGGTATGTGAGCTCTAAGAGCTTCCGCAATACAGAAAGGAGGTGTAGGCAGATTGGAATAATATAGAAGAAATGGTTCTCCGGACCTGTGTTCTTTACTTCAACCAATTAAATCTGAAGTCAGAAATTCACTCAACAGTGTCTAGGAATTCGTGAAAACTGCCTAAGCTTGCCTGTATTACACACACACACACACACACACACACAGAAAGCAGATTACCAAAATGTGTTCTGATGACTAAGAATGTTTTAGGAAAATATGTCCCAGACAGACCATCCTACACCATCTCCGTTTTCTGCAACTCTCAACATCTGGTGTTTATAGTTCAACACTGGGTCACAAAGTAAAACCCAGGATCCTTTAGTGATGCACAACATAAGGAAATGATGATTGCCATTACGAATGATAGCTAGAACTTATTTGGTGCCTGCTGAATGCAAAACTCCATCTAAATTCTTTAGATGAATTATCTTTTGTAATCCTAGCAATAAAACTGTAAATAGGTACAATTATTGGTCTAGCTTCATAGAGGAGGAGACTAAGGCTTGTTGGAGAAGTTAATGAATTTGCCCAGGACATGGACCTGGTGCTGGAGCTGAACAAAAGCCCTCGGTGGGGCTACAGGGCTCACACCTTGAACCATTGTGGGATAATCCAAACCAGAACTACAATTTACATTCTAACTCTTAAGATAGTGGCTCAGCGATGCAGAAAACTTTTCCAGAATGTCTTGTTCCTCAAAGTTTCTATGTAGCTATTCCTCTGTGGTATAAAATTCTAATAACCCTAGAAAAAAAGATTGCACGAGATAGATCATGCATCAAGTGTATGAGGAGTCAGATAGGGATTTACATGGTAAATGCCCTTTGATATAATCGAGACAAGTCAATGGAAATAATCAAATAGAGGAAGGAGTGTAAAGTGGCCAACAGACATACCTTAAACATTCTATTTTAACTCAAAGCAGACAATACAGATTGATTATCTAATCATTCTTTAATTAAATAATATGGTCTAATTTCTATTAAGTTTTGGATGAAGAGATTAGAAGTCTATGTCATTGTTTCCATAAACTGTTTTCATCATGGATCATCTGCCATTTCCAGTTTAAGTTCTCTGAGAGTAGAGTAAGGCATGATGCCATTTGCCAACAACTTATGCTTGATTTTTTTTAATCTGTTTGTCTTGATATTTGCTACGTGTGTCATCTTTCTCAAGGGTCTTGGCCCAAACCTAGCCGAACCTTCTTCTTTTAACTTACCTTTAAGAAAGCTTTTCCAAAGAAGTCCCATTAATTGTCATGGAAACAGCTTTATTTGGCACTCCTATTTCATTGGTTTGGATAATGAATTAAATTACATTACCACGACAGGTGTAATTGTCACAAACAAGGTAGAAACAAATATGACTGACTTCTGTCGAGCAGCCACTCAAGTGGTTGTTGCCCAAGCCCTTGGGCTTCTAGAAAGAAGCTGGCCAGAGGGAATGTTGGGTATGGTGAATGCCAGCCAGGTGGTTGCTTTAGAGAAGGAATGGAGAATCTGGGGCATCCGTTAGGATGAAAATGTCAAACAAGTGTCCACTCTACACTTGGTGTTCAGGAGGAGACCTTGTGGGTCTCAACCAGGTTGTGGATTTGGGGGTGTCTTGGCTGTTCCCCTCACCAATAGGAAACCTAAGCACAAGTGCCCTCCATACTCAGCACAACAGTGCCTTGTTCCCAAAGACTTAGTAATCCTAGTGTCATCACTTACTTGTGTCCTCTTTTCTAGACCCTCTGCCACCAACAGGATGTGTCAAAACCTGATCCCAAGATTTTATATTTTCAAGTGGTGGTGATGTCACACCCACATTAGCTCTCATGGTGATTGCTGGTTTTGTTCTTTTGACCTTGAAGAGTCAAGATGACAATCATGAGACACATAGTCAACTCCACAAATAGTTAGTGAGCAGTTATGTTGTTACTGGAGCAGGAAGAGACTCAAAGATTCCTCCAGGGGCTCACAAGGGATGTATATCGGTTGGAATTTCAAGACCTCCATCAAGGTGGGAACCACCCTCCAGGTGGACAGTTAGACCAACGAGGAACAAAGCAAGATCCTTAAGGCTTATCCCATAGCAATTTTAATGCTCTTTTCTCTTCTCCCCATGTCTTGTCCACCTCACTCCATCCTCACTCTTCTACCTGGAAAACAGAAAGATGGGGGGAAGGAATACGTGCATTTGATCCCATTGACAAATTATGCTTAATATTGTTAGCACCATTTCCTTCTTTCCTAGATGGCTTACAGAGGGGTATTTCTTGTCTATACAAATGTGAATCTTTGACACAAAAATCCATCCTCGTACAAAAGTGTTTCTGTACCTCCCCTGAGCCAAAAGAGATGTCATTACAAAGTGTTTTGGGCAAGGAAGAGTGGTCCCTAAAGACCAAGATACTTTGCCCTCATTCGTCTCTAACTCAGGAGGCAAGATGTACGTCCCCAGCCTGTTCAAAGCCAAACACTATAGCAGCACAAGAAACTAAATTCTCCAGCTGTTCAGAGGCAGGAACTCACAAGGGACTGAAATGGGTAAAGAAGGCTCCCAGGAAGTCAGGGACTTGAACTGAATGTATTAGTTCTGTTGAAGCAACAATTATTCATGGCACTTGTTAAAGAGCAGCAGCAGGCACACTTCTCAGGGGGACTGCTGTGACGTGAATATGTGGGGTCGACCTCAGTGGGAGTTTGTGGCAGGGGAGAGAGGCCGGGCTCGACTTCACGTACAAGTGGGAATTTACAGCCAAGGAGTGGAGGGGAAGGATGGGGCTGTGGGTGGAGAATTACTGATAGGAGACCTTGGGGGTAAGGGTATTCTGACTAGTGTGATCAAACAGGACTCTGGTTGAAGGCACGCAAGGATGATCGGATAGTACCTGGGTGTGAAAGAGAATGAAGTCTTTGATCATGTATCAAGTGATCCGATATTGAGGGGATTCTGGCTGAACTGACCGAGCAGCGTTCTTGCTAAAATTAGGCCGTTAGAGGACATGCCCTTAGACAGGGTTCGTGTGGAGCACGGGTCACTCATCAAAGAGAGGCTCTGTCAGCCCCTAGGGCTGCTGGCGTAGGGCCCCGCAGAGGGAGGCCTTCAACACCACAAATGGGTTGTCCCATGTTTTTGGAGGCCAAGAAATCCAAAATCAAGGTGTGGGACAGGTAGGCTCCCTCTGAGGGCTATGAGGGAGAGTCTGTTCCAGGCTTCTGCCCTTGGCTTTTAGGGGGCTGTTCGCCCCTTGTGTCCTCACATGGTCTTCTCTCTGTATATGTCTTTGTGCCCACAATTCCCTTTTTTCATAAGGACACCAGTCACATGAGATTAGCGCCACCCTAGTGACCACCGTTTCGCTTGGTCATCCCTGTGGAGACCCCTTCTCCAAGTCAGGTCACATTCTGAGCTTCTGGGGGCTGGGGCTTCACCACGTGGATTCTGAGGGGACACGGTTGAGCCCATAGCACTGACCCCTGAGGAGCTGGCCAGAGAGAGGGGCCAGGCCTAGCCGGAGCGGGGGTTGTGTTGGGCAGCGTGGGCCAGAGCGCCTGGTCGGAAGCCCCATCGCTGTGACTAAATGCCCGGCTCTTCCAGTTCCAGGTCCTCCTGCGGGAGTGAAGGCAGCGGCGGCCTCAGCCTCCATGGTCTTTGTGTCCTGGCTTCCCCCTCTCAAGCTGAACGGCATCATCCGAAAGTACACTGTATTCTGCTCCCACCCCTATCCCACAGTAAGTTGGTAAATAACCAAGTGCCTTTCAAGCACCTTCCAGAAAACGAGCTGCGAGTGCTCCTTTGGGACACGTTCATTCCTTTGTTTCCCACCTACTTGGGTCTTTCCAGTGGTTTTATTCCCCGCCCCCCACCCCCTGCTGTTGTCTCTACCACAAAGCAACATCCTCATTTACACCTCACTTGAAAATACACATCTGAATCATTATAAGGGACACAGTCATCTAGAAGTATTGTTTAGTTGGTGACTTCCCACAACACCGCCAGCCGGCTTCTCAAAATCAAAACCCAGAGGTCTGAATTGTGCCTTAATTGGTAGTCAGTGGACAACGCTTACTGATTTTGCTCTTGGACGCGTCATTCTGTGCCTGCCAGGCCCTCCCTGCCTCCCCCCCTTCCCTCTGACCGCCCTCCTGTGCCCCCAACTCCCACCCCATCTTCCTGCCAGGTCCCGTCCCCCACTAAGAGAAGCAGGCAAGCCACTGTCGGGCCAGAAACGAGGGCCTGTGCTGAGGATCTGTGACCCCGACGATCGCATAGCCCACCTCATTCACTGAGACAGAGTTAAAAGAGTTAGTGTAATTAATACTTCAACGTGCTATATTTATTATCATTAATATTATTACTACCGGGTCATAATTATAGAGCTAAACTGTTTCTTAGACCAGCTACAAAAGCATGTCGAAAAGGGAAATTTTAGAGGAAAGAAAGCCAGAGTAGGACCACAAAATTCATGCTATCTTCACAGGAATATTTACGGCATTTTCTGGGGTTGGCACCACGTGACCTGTCTTTCTGTCCTCCTGCTGGGGTATAGAAGGAGACCTGTATCGTCAGTCAGTGTTTGTGGAGTGAATACACAGATTAATTTTGGTTTTTATTGCGATAAAATACCGTAACGCAGAATTTGCCATCCGAATCACTTCTAAGTGTCCAGGTCAGTGGCATTAGGTATATTCACATGGTTGTGAAGCATCTCCATGATACGCCTCTAGAACGTCTCTGTCTCCCCAAACTGAAGCTCTGTCCCCTTGAAACACTGACTCCCCATTCCCAACTCCTTCCGGCCCTGTCACCTGTCATTCCGCTTTCTGCCTGTGTGACTTTGGCTACTCTAGGGACCCCATGTAAGTGGAATCGTACAGTATTTGTCTTTTTGTGACTCGCGTGTTGCACCTGTATGATGTACTCAACGGTCATCTTGTAGCAGCTATCAGAATGACCTTCTTTTTATTTAATGTTTTATTTATATTTGAGAGAGAGACAGAGCGCTAGTGGGGAAGGGGCAGAGAGAGACAGAGACAAAATCTGAAGCAGGCTCCGGACTCTGAGCTGGCCGCACAGAGCCCGAGGTGGGGCTCGAACTCACGAACCGTGAACTCATGACCTGAGCTGAAATCGGACACTTAACTGACTGAGCCACCCAGGCGCCCCAGAATGTCCTTTTTTAAGGCTGAATAATATCCTCGAGCTGATTTATTCATTAATTCTGTAATTCACGTGCTGCATTTTCCTAAGTCTAGCATCTGCAGGGGACCCCACACGCCCCAGACGGTGAGCATGGTTGACAGCAGAGAGACGGGGAGAGCGTGTGTTCAGCTCACATCAACAGCAGCACCTCCAGAGCTGGAGTAAAGATTTAAATGTAAATGGTCAGAGTTGCGCTCCAGAACGTTCTTGTGGGTTCCTTCTTTGGTTTCAAATATGCTGTTAATTCTCCCCTGCTGAATTCTGTCAGTCAAAGTGCAGAGGCGCAGAGCCGTGTGGTGCTGAGGCGAAACGCCAGGAAATCATGTTCTGGGACTCCTGAACTCAGGGCTCACGGAGGACCCCTGGGCAGGCCCTGATTCTGTCTTCAGCCCCAACATATAATCGTGCGCCAAAGAGAGACAAAATCTTGCAAAAATAACGAATACCTATGTTCCACTGGAATTTGAAATGCTTCTTTATTTTTGTTCACTCATTCCTTCATCTGTTTGCTGTAGGACTCACATTTGCTGTTCTGATTCCACCAAGCTAGGAAAAGAGTTCAGGGTACCCAGAACACCCTCAATCTGCTCTTTATCTCTAAACTAAAACCCCAGCCTGGCTTACTTGACATTAGTCCTGATGGACCGATGCTTGGATGAGATAGCCCCACAGGTGGCCGCTTTGGGCCATGTTAGTCTTTGTTTCCCCAGCCTGTGGATTTCACACAGTACAATAGGAAGAGTTACAAATCCTAAAAACATGAGCCAACTGTCTATAAGAAAGAGTAGAAAAGATTTGCCCAAGGATTCCCACCGTCTCTCATTGCAAGCCACAATAGGATTCAACCACCCAGTACCTTCCCAACAAGACCCTTCCGAAAACAACAATCGTAAGATCGAACTAACCAGAAAAGATGGGAATTAACAGCCAAATTTCTCACCTCCTTCATGTCTGACTGCCACTCACCGGGTGTCTCTGTGCTGCCTTTGACTCTGTTATAAAGCACCGTAGATCTAGAAATATGATCGTTACAGAGCACTGTGGTCTTCTGGGTAGCGTCATGTAAGTTTGGCAAAGAGGGTCCAGAATCCCAAGCTGTGTGCAGTAAAGTGGAGGGAACAGAATCAGGCTGAGTCCATCTCTAGAGACAAATGGCTGCTTATCCACGTCAAACATCATTTAAGACCCCAGGGTCTAGTTTTTTCTTTAATAGACTTTATTTTTAAAGCACTTTTAGGGTGACAGAAAAACCAAGTGGGAGGTACAGACATTTTCCCCTAGGAGACCTATTTTTAAAATAAAATAATACCATTATAAGTGAAGACCAGAGAGAACTAATACATTTCTCTGAGGAAGGAAACATTGGAAAATCTCACCATTGCTTTGTGGAGCTTTCTTTCACATGGAATTAGTAAGAGAGTACAAATTGCTGGAAAGAAGGGTATTTGTTCCATCTTGGGTTTCTGGAATTTGACTCTAAGTTAGAAGAAGGGATGGGATGACGTTTTGTGAGGCTTTCACATTTCCGCCCATGTGTCAGAATGAACACCAGAGGGCAGTGCTAGCTGCGTATGATATTCTTGCTCGGCTGAGTATTTCTTTTCTTTGAAATGATTTCACAGTGGAATGTAGAACATGGCAGGATAAATGAGGACACAGCACAGCCTGTAATTTAATCTTCTTTAGAGGAGTCCCTCAGCTGACTTGCTCGCTGATGTAAATTTCCTCATAAGACCCCCAGTGAATGGACCTTGTTACAAGACCCACGCTCTTCTCTCTAATGGGTAAAGCCCATTGTCTAAGAATAGATGCTGGTTTCACTGCGTTCTCTTGGGTTAGCCTAGTAAAAGGTGTTGGGATTTAAAACTTTGTGTGGCCAGATAAGAAAGTGTAAATGCATCTAAAGTCTGGTGGCGCTAGGTAAACGCAGAGTCTCCCCGTGCCGGACCAGCAGATGCACGGAGACATTAACTGCCCCAGGCAGAGATTCGAGCAGCAAAATCTCAAAGTTCATTTGCTTCAAGGAACTCAGGCATATAATTTGGGGGGCGTCACTCTGAATTTTCATAGATGACAGTTTGAAGGATCAATTCACACACTACCTTGTAAGGTCCCAGGGAGAGAGTCACGAGGCTGGATCTCCCCTCTAGCCCTCCTCCCCTCATGAAAGCAGCCTATGGGGAGTACCCTAGATTAACCAAGGACAAGGATAGAGAAAGTGTCTCTTCTACAGCGCTAAGCCGATTGAGATGGGACTTAGAAACGTGAAATCAGACAGCATGAAATTCTCAGCAATGAAGAACAAAATCAGAAGGCTTGAAACGATCATATCAGTGAGCTGTGACTCACCTCAATTATTCCAGTTTCAAACGATAAGGTGATCCAGCCCCTGCACAGGATAGGTGTTCCGTCGATGTTGCCGAATGAGCAACTGAGAATGTTCCAGTACCCTTCTTCTCCAGAAGACAGCTTTCAGCAACAAAACTCCCCACAGTGTAGCCCACGACTTAGAAGTAAGCAAGTCTTCAGAGACACCAGGGAAGTAACCTTCGCCAGGTCTGGGCAGCTTCCAAACCAAAACAGCAGGTGTGGGTTTTCCTTGGACCCGCCCCCCAGGACTGCATTTAATAAATCATGGGGCTGAGGACAAGAGAGAGTGGCTTTAGGAAGCCAGAATTGTTGAGGAATCTCAGGTCAAACCACGGTGCCGTGATGGAATTGTCAAGCGGGGTCAACTTGACCATCTGTATTATAATGCTGTCCATCTCACTGGCCACTGCTCCTGTCTCAGAAGTCACCGTGCACCCTCTGGGTGTACAAGGCTATTCCCTTTTGGGGAGGTGGCACTCTTCCCATTTCACGCTGCCACATAGCATGCCATTATTATACAGCTATCTGTGTTTAAATTCTGACTTAACTTCCCTTCTATTTTTAGACTTTCTCTTCTCTTAGGCTCCCTCTCCCTTGACAGCCACCCTTCAATGTAGGCATTTCTCAATACTCTTCCTTTATCCTCTTTTCCTAATCTTTATTGTCCCCATGAATCACTGAATCTTATATACTTTTTAAAGTATATTTATTTATTTTGAGAAAGAGAGAGAGCACAGGGAAGGGGCAGAGAGAGAGGGAGAGAGAGAATCCCAAGCAGGCTCTGGGTTGTCAGTGCAGAGCACAATGTGGGGCTCAAACCTATGAACCGTGAGATCATGACCTGAGCCAAAATCAAGAGTTGGATGCTTAACCGACTGATCCACCCAGCTGCCTTTGAATCTGTTTTTATAATTTAACTATCATCTGAAGTTACAGAGATCAAAAATGTTTCTCTCCAACCCCGACTGACCATCTTAGAGGACCAGGCAACCTCATATTTCCAAATTCCTTCCATCCGTGTCTTCACGGAGACCCCACCGCATCCAACGTGTTCTGAATCAAATTCATTCTTGTCCCCCTTCTCTTCCTGTTTCCCAGCTAAGCCACTGATCTAACAGTACCCTTTGTCCTCTGACCAGAGGCCTAAAACCTCAGGGAT